CCCCCCCCCCAGCCAGGGAAGGGGAGGGTCCAGCCCCGCTCGCCGCAGCGCGCATCTCCGGCTCGGGCGCTAACGTGTCCGACAGATGGGGGTTTGGCTGCGGATCAGCTGCCTAAGGAGAAAACCAGAGCTGGCAGCCAGAGCGCCCGGGCAGAAAGGGGTCTCTGCTGCTTAATTCCTGCTGCTCTGCGTGCTCCTAGGGGCTGGAGTGCCGGGGGGGGGGGGACAACACACAGTGGGTGGGGAGCTCACAGCCGGCCCTCGGGCCCCATGGGTGCCAGATAGGCTGGGGTCTCCCCTGGGCTGGGGGTTCAGGTCCCCAGGGCAAGCACCGCGGTGACAGGGTGGCCGAGGCGGCCGACCTGGCCGGGGGGATGATGCTCTGCAACCCCCGCCAGGATGCGGGAGGGTTCGGTTGAAGCTGTGCACGTGCCAGCGTGTGGCCGGACCCTGTGGGGTGCCATGTGTGTGTCCCCCGGCAGCCCAGCTGGCCCAGGCACGCTGCAGTGAGTGGGGTCCCAAGGATGTCCCCCCTGGGGAAGGTGAGCAGGACCCCAAAGGGAAGGCTGCTGCCTGCCCGGCACCTCCTGCCCACGGCGGGCTGGGGGCAAAGGCGTGCTGCACCCGGGGCGGGGAGGGGGGCTGCGCTCGGGCGGCCAGGCTCTGCAGGGCGCTCTGAGCAGCTGGGTGCCGAGCTGGGGGGGTCTGCGGTGCCATGGACTGGACTCTCGCCCCCCTCACAGGCCAACCTGCCGCTGCTGCAGCGGGAGCTGCTGCACTGCGCCCGCATGGCCAAGCAGACCCCGGCCCAGTACCTGGCCCAGCACGAGCAGCTGCTGTTGGACGCCAACGCCTCCTCTCCCATCGACTCCTCCGAGCTGCTCCTGGAGGTGGGCGAAGGGGGGGGCGCCGGGAGGGGGGGGGGTTGGGGGGGGGGGGAGGGAGGCCACGTGGGGTATTTTTTAAGGGACACATCCCTGCCACCCACCCCGGGGCGGTGGGCGCTGGTGCCCGATGGGGACCGACCTCCTCTCCTCCACCCAGGACCAAAGAGAACGGTTTGGACCGAGACCCTCTGCACCCCGAGCACCTCAGCAAGCGGCCGTGCACCATGAGCCCGGCGCAGCGCTACAGCCCCCGCCACGGGCTGAGCCACCCGCCCAATGGGCTGGGGCACCCCCCCGCCGCCCCCCCCCTGCCCCAGCACTACCGCCTGGAGGACATGGCCATGGCGCACCACTCCCGTGACACC